AGAGCGATAAACAGGCTTTGCTGGGTCTGCAGGGCTGGTATCACAGTGCAGTTCAATTCTGACTGATAGTCCCTTTGGCTTTCCCTTTGAACCACTGGGGCAGTTATTGGCATTAGTACATAAAACATGTACGTAATTCTGAAGATAGTAATTTCAAATGCCCATCTTGTAGCATTTGTGCATATATAATGTTGCTAAAGGGTAAGATAATTAGGCTTATGTAAATAATTTATGTTCTAATTTCTTTTTGAAATAAGGCTTATTTCCATTTCTCACAGAGGACATTGGTATGCTAAAATTCATGGCTTTCTTTGATGGAGCCAATAGTAGTACAAAAGCCAGACCTGTGGTGCTCAGTTCAAGAGGGTTCTACCCACAAAGGTGCCTTGTGTTCAAAGAGAGGGGAAGAGGTAGGCCAGGCCATGGGCCTCTGTCTGGAGCAGGTGTCCCTAAGCCCCACTGTCATGTCCCAGCGTCAAAGAATGATTCATAGTTTTAACGGGCATAAGTGGTGTTTATTAAATAGATAGAAGTCATTTTCATTTCTTTAAATATCTGGATTCTTTCATGTTCTAGTTTTAAAAATAAATTATTTACCATGGGACATACATGTAAAATACCTTGATATTAAGATTTCTAATTATTCTGTAACAGCTTGTGCTCCTGGATTTAAGTTATTTTGTTTGGTATTTATTTTCTTTCTTTTTTCTTTTCTTTTTTTTTTTTTTAAGATTTATTTATTTAATTATATATACAATGTTCTGCCTGCCTGTGTGCCTGCACAACAGAAGAGGGCACCAGATCTCATTATAGATAGTTCTGAAACACCATGTGGTTGCTTGGAATTGAACTTAGGATGCCTGAGCGTCGTAACCTCTGAGCCATCTCACCAGTCCTGTTTGGTATTTCTTATTAAATATTTTATTTCACCTGCTTGTCTCTAAAACTACTTTATGGAATACTTGAATTATTTAAATGAGGAAGAGATGAATTATTTCCCATAGACAAATTTAAATTAATTTCATTGTAAACCTGATGTACAAATAGATTAATATTGGAACAGAAAAACTGATTCTTTTTTTCTTTCTACTCCTGTTTTCTCTCTCTTTTCTCTCTCTCTCTATCTGTTTATTGCTTTTTGTTTTTTCATCTTCAAGGAGAAAGGCCTATTTGACTTTATGGATCTCTCCTCATAGCAATAAATATGCTAATAAGAGTGAAAAATGCAACAAAACAAAACAAAACAAAAACCTCTAAATGGATTTTATAAACGAGCCAGAAACCTGTGTCTGGGTCTTCTGGGGAACAACCTGTGACTCATTGCAACAAACACACTCATAATCTCATAAAGTGCATGTGGTTACCATGGTAATTAGGCCTGTTGAGCTCCCTTGCATTTCTATTCCTGCAGAGGGAAGAAAGCGAGAAAAACTGTGAACTCTGAACTTGGACTATCGGCTTCGGCCTACCCACTGTAGGAGAGAGTTTAGGGGTTTCCCTTGAACACACTGGCATAGTCATCCTGGAGGGAAGGGGAGAGACCTGGGCTCCCACTCCTCTGGTTGTTATTGAAGACAAACTTGCCCTATTAGTGTTGGAGATTGCAGTTCACAAGGGGGAAAAGGACCGATTAGCACTCTGTGGGTGAAGGAAAGGACAGATAGTTTCTTTAGCTAATAGATAATTACAGGTATGTCTCTAAGGTCGACCTGGTGAAATGCTTTGAGTGTCTGTGCACAGGGCTCTAATGATCTCCTGAAAGGCACTGAATGCCTCTGGCATATCATTATTGCAGATTTAAATGATTCTCCCTGTACTACCCAGTTAGAGGCCGATTTTATGTCTCTGATGTGATTCATACACGAACCTGCTGTCTTTTCTTTATTTCTGGACTGGATTTGACTCCCTTATATCAGGCATCCGTCTTATAATGAAGACCCATGGGTCTCCAAGGAGACCACCAAACTTACAGAAGTTCTGCTAAATCTGTTAGTGCTCTTAAGGAAACCAAAATCAAAGCACACGCTTGTCTGATGGACATCCAAGATGTCCAGAGCCCACCCAGTTAGTGGAATCTTATAGAAGTCACTCATTTTGATTCTATTGAAGAAAAAGCAGAGCCATGAGGCAAAGGCATGAGGACACACATAGAACTTTCCAAACTCAACCTTCATGAGCCTGGGCCATCCTCACATGTGTGATTATCATGTATTTGCTGGAATTTAATCCTTTAGACCATGGCTCTCTAAGGTAGATTTTATATAGGGTTCTATTAGAATTTCCTCATTCCAAAGGCTTGGAATCAGGTGAAGTGTGCCACCTACTGGTTCTAAACTATGTTTTTATTCTTACTCTCATAGGTCGAAATAATTATCCAATCTTTATTCTAGATTTGATCGTCTTAACATTAGTAAATAAAACTTGGTTTGGGCCAGTAAGATGGCTTGAGGGCTAAAAGCATTTGCTGCTAAACCGGAGGACCAGAATCAGACCCCTATCTGGAGAAAGAACTGACTCCTGAAAGTTGCCCTCTTGGCTTTCCCACATGCGCTGTGGTGTGCGTGCTCATATTCAGACATGTGCATACACACTGGAAAAAAAAAACATACAAAATAAATACATTTTTTGAACATAATAATAAACCTAAGTTAGTATTTTAATGGTCATCAAAGCAATTCATGGAGAACATTAAAAATTGAGAAATAATACTGTACATTATGAATAACAAAAGTAAGAATATTCCCATTTATTAAGTTTGTTTTTGGTTGAACTAATTGATGTAGCAGGGATCTGATTTTACAGCGGCTGAAGGAAGTTAGAAAGTAATTATTTCTTTTTAACAGAAAAACCCAGAGGTGAATGACCTTGGCCAGGATGTTCTATGATTTTCTTCTTCTTGTGGTCTGAGGTGGCTTGTTACAAGGATTCAGCAGGAAAGGAGAAGGAGAAAGATGCACCCACAGTTACACATACTACCTTTGCAGTTCTCCCATCAAACTCTGTTGCATGGCTGCACATCTAGCAGCAAGGGAGACTGGGAAAATAAACTTTTCTTAACATGTACAGGAATGTAGTCTTTCTCAAAATACCTTAGTTTTGTACTCACCCAATGTGAGATGATAAAATGCCTATAGGATAAAACAAAATACATTAAATAATGAAGACAGTTTAACATAGCATTGGGCTACTATTTAAAGAATGTTCGACAGCAATACTTTGGGATGAGATGTCTAATAAAAGACTCTAGTAAATGATGAAGGGCAGGCAGCATATACAGTGTGGATACTTTGGGCAAAGAGATGATTAGTATCCAGGGCAGGACTGAGGGAATCAGAATGGTGTAATTTAAAGCATGAATTATTCATTCCTAGAATTTTCCATTTTCCATGACTGCAAGTAACTTAGAATAAATAAAACCTAGAAGAACGAATTTTAAATGGTCTACAGGATGCACAAAGTTATATGTTAGGGAAGGAGCTGACATTACACCATAGACAACATCTTGTATTTGTGTTTCTTAACTATACCAGGTGCATTTTATTTTTCTTATAGCTTAAATTTCTTGCATCTGGGCTGGAAATGAAGCTCATTGATAAGAGTTCTTGCCTAGAATGTGCAATAAATACCCTCCCACCTCCCTCCACCTTGCCCTAAAGTCTCATATTCATCATCAGTTCACAAAATAGGGTTTCCTTTGCATAGGAAGTGGTATTGTTGATAATTAGGCTATTTCTTACACCTTCATAATAATTTTTGTCTGTAGCTGTTGTTAGAATCCAGGAGTGGAATTATTAAAATGATGATTGAGAACACATCTTGATAAATAGTACCAAACTGCTTTCCAGGGACTTGTGCCAATTTACGCTATCAGCAATAATATATGAGCCCACACCTCAGGACACCCTCACTCAGGCTTATTTTCTAAGTTCCACTTAGTCATTGTTATCCCCAGGGTTCAATCTCTGAAAAGAGGTGTGTGTGTGTGTGTGTGTGTGTGTGTGTGTGTGTGTGTGTTTTCCCTTGGCTTGTTTTCTTTTCCTTTACTGTCATTAATCACTAGATAATGACTTTCTTTTTTTAATAACTTTGGCTCATTTAAAAACATGTGGGCCCTCCTAGCACTCTGAGAATACAGTTGACTGGGTTGAGATTGAAACCTACATGCCAGTCTCACACAGTGTGAGATCTCTGGAAACACTGATGTTCATTTAGTCTTATAACCCGTTATGACTTGACTTCCACCCTCAGTCATTGTCCTCTTGGTAAGATACATTTTTCTTCTGAGTCAGAATAAAGTAGGAATGAACCCCAAAGCTTTGGAGTGGGTGCTCTAAAGAGTTCCAAGAGGAAGGAATCTCTTTCTTGTGGGAAGCTTAAAGATACTAGGCATAAATAATCTGATTCAGTTCAAATTCATAGGAGCATTAGCAGCAAAGAGTGCAGCTGCCTTTGACTTCAAAACAACCTGTGAAAGATTACAAGCTGAAGAGTCTGGTTACAACCACCAGCTTACTTCCACTTGCCCTCTTAAAGGGCAGATACCCACAGACTGGGCTCTCTAGCTCTTCCCCTAATACCTAGGGCAAGAGAAAGTACAGTCTTTGCTCTGTTTTAGTGGGAACCAATCGGCTAAGCCCAGGAGGAGAGTTTAGGTACTTAGCTTCTGCCACCAAAACTCTGCTTTGTTGAGGATCCTCGCTTGCCATTGTATTCTCATGGTGTTTTGTTGTTGTTGTTATGTGTGTTTGTTGGGGAGGATAGTGAATTTCACAAAGCAAAGGATTCTTATTTCATGTACTACATTTATTTTAAAAAGAGAGAGTTCACAAAATGTAGGTTCACCCATGTAAGTCCAGGACTCTGCCCTTCTAGCTATTCTGCCGTTACCACTAGCCTTGGCTGCGGGAGCGTTCATTTGTTCACTCAGCTATTAGAAATTTTGCTATTTGTTATTTTCCTAAAGCATGTTTTTTTTTTTTTTTTTCCCTGCTCTCTAACAGATCTGCCAGTAAGCCTCCAGCCTTGAAAATTGACCAGGTAAGAATTCTGATGTATTTTTTCCTAGGATAATCATGACTCTAACTAGCACTTCAGAAGGGTCCATGAAAACGTCAGTGATCATATAGACTAGGACACTTAAGTATGTGATGTTTTTACAGAAAACAACCATCTTTAGCCTTCAAATGGGTCTGCCTCTGGTATTTAGAGAGAAAACAGGGTTCTCTTTAGTGAACCCAGATTTTCCTTTATCTTCTAAAAAAACCTCTGAGCTAAGGATCATTTGAAGTTGTTGCTTTAATAACGGTATCCCTGTGGTGCCAAAGTGATTAAGGGATTTCAGACATTAACATAACCTGTGCAAGACAGAGCCTCATAGTAATTAGTTTCGAGACATAAGCCTTGATCTTAATGGATTATCATAGATGGTGCAGTAGACAGTGCAGGAGTTTTCCCTTAGCAGTAACCAGAACAACAGAAGGTCAGCTTAGAGCTGGTGGGCTTCTTCTGCAAGACACCTAATTAACTTTGGAAATGAGTTAAAGCCATTCAACACTGACTGCAGACTTGAAAGGCCCCGTTACCCCGAGACAGGTAATGCTATAATTTGTCTATTCCAACCCAGATGTGCAGTTTCCATTAGCCAGTTACTCAGAATTTTCACTCTATTTTAAAGTTCAACTTCATTATGGAAAATTTTAAGCTTATGAAAAGGTTTTAACTGTCAAAAAATTTCCATGTCTTCATCATATAGTGAATAGTAGTTATCGATTCACAGCTGGCATTGTTCTTTTACATTTTTCTCTGCTTCTCGCCTTTCTCCACTGGATTGCACTGTGTGGCCACTTGAAGTTGGTGGTTGGTCTTTTATCTATCTATCTATCTATCTATCTATCTATCTATCTATCTATCTATCTATCTATGTTTGTGTCTAATGACTATAGCAAAATGCTGATTAAAACAGAAAGCCTCATAGCTTGGCTTAATTGGTTTCTAGAACGTGTCTTTATTCGTTTCTTCACATAGCAAATGTGTGCTTAACATTTGCCAGGCACTAGATCTTCCTTCAGATAAGAGGGTCATTTTTTTTTTTTCAACTTAGAATAATGAGGTTCTCAAATTTGGACTTTTGGGATCATCAAATGGAATTATCCATCAGAGAGACACTGAAAATGAAAAGATGAAATTCATCCTACAACCTTAACAGTCAAATGCGTACATCAGAAGTGTAGAAACTTGGTAGGGGGTTTGTTTCTTTCTTTCTTTCTTTTTTTTTTTTTTAAACTGTGTAGCCCAGGCTGGCCTCGAACTCGTGATCCTCCTGCCTCTGCCTCCTTCAGCAAATCCTACCGGTGTGTGCCACCACAACCGGTGGTGGGGGGGGGTTGTTTCTTAACTTATTAATACAGTAGGGTTATAAAGACCACACACAGACCCAAACTTCTTTCAAGTCTCTATCACTCTGCTTTATCATGAATGTTCTTCCAACCATCTACCTCCTTTTCAAGAAAAGCTCTGAGTGCAGGTGTGGTTTCCAACTTAACAATTTTGCCTCCAGCATGCCTGGCACTTGCTATATATTTATTAAAAGTGTTGAATGAATGAACAAAAGAATTAATGCCAGATACGTGAAGACGAAAACCACACAGGCCACAGCATTGCTAGTTACACGGGGGGAGTAGTAGTATGGTACTTAGAAGCTCCATGGGTGAGGTGTGAGCAAAGAGTAACCAGGAAATGGAGGAGGGGGTTGGCCTGATGGCCCTGTGAAGAAAAGTAATGATGAGATGCCTTCAGCTTGAAAGGGAGAGAAAACTCTATCCAGGTGTAAAGAATCACATGTTCATTACTATGGAACCCACTTGGACACTGAACTGCCATAGGCTAACTCTGTGCAGGGGTTCCAGGCAATCTCCATGAGTGGTCCTTGGCTGGAGTATCAGTTTCAGAAAAGACTCTTGTGCCCAGACTTTTTGGTTCTGTTGCTCTCCTTGTGGAGCTCCTGTCCTCTCCAGGTCTTCTTCCATAAGATCCCCTGTACTCTGCCCAAAGTTTGGCCATGAGTCTCAGCATCTGCCTCGATACTCTGCAGGGTAGAGCCTTTCAAAGGCCTCTGTGGCTGGCTCCTGTCCTGTTCCCTGTTTTCTCCCTCCTCCGATGTTCATCCTCTTTGCCTTTCTGAATGGGGATTGAGCATCTTAGCCAGAGTCCTCCTTCCTGATTAGCTTCCTTAGGTGTACAGATTTTTCTCTGACAAGAACTGATTGGCCTGCTCTTTGATTACCTCCCCCCTGAGGGGGGACACAGAAGACAACCAGGCCACAGAAGACAACAATGCAGCCACTCCTGATGAGACCTGACACACTAGGATCAAAGGGAAGGGGAGGAGACTCTCCCTTATCAGTGGACTGGAAGAGGGCCAGGGGTGGGGAAGGGGGAGGGTAGGATTGGGAGGGGAGAAGGGAGGTAGATATAGGGGGATACAAAGTGAATAAATTGTAATAAAATAAAATAAAATAAAATGTTAAATATTAAAAAAAAAGAATCACATGCCCGATACGCACAAGGAATGATGATTCTGTAAACCTTCAGAGACTTAGTGGGCAACCAAGCATTGAGGGACTCTGCAGTCTTCTGGGTGGGAAGGCAGAAAAGAATATGCAATGAGAGTTTTTCTTGGAAAAGATGATTCTACAAGCAGCAGGGAAAATGGAAGGCCAGTAAGAAGGCTTCTGTCTAGGACTAGTGGGCTGGATTTGGGAGAACTGAGGTGACTGATGATTAAAGTGAGATGTGGAGGAAACATCTAGAATAATTTCAAAACCTCTCTTGGGGAGATGAGCTGGGAAGTGATCACCAAGCTTCAAAGGCAAGAAGAGACTTCAGGTCTCAGGAAGGACTTCATCCACCTTGGTATGCCCATAGGCTGCTTCTGTAGAATGCTGGGCAGAGCAGCATCCCCATTTGGGGCTGTCCATCAGTGCCTGTAGGAAAACATGGAGACACATGGCTGCACAGAAGCCACCCAGACCAGTCGAATCAGAAGGCTTAGGGGCAGGCCTGGATATCTGTGATTTTTCAAAGCTCTACAAATGATTTTAAAATGCAGCCATTGTTGAGGATTTCTAGATGACAGCTTATTTGAAGCAAGCTTGTGTGTGTGTGCGCGCGCATGCTCGCATGCACATGTCTGTACGCAAATGTGTAAGACTATGAAAAACTTCTGCTGCCCTGTAATCAAGTTCTTTAGATCTAAGTATCTTTTGAGTAAAAGCTGGATCATCCCAATATATTCCTTCAAATATTACTAATAGCTAAGAAGACTGTTTTATACATCTCTAGTGTTCTTTGTTGTGTTAGTTTCATGCATAAACATAAACGGAAAAATTTCACATTGGCCCCAGCAGGGTTGCGAAGTGTAAGTTGTCCGTGTGTGCAGGGGGATAGCTCTTCATTGTGCTCTTGGTACATGGAGCTCATAAAGGACAGCGGCACCCTCTGGCCCTTGTGGCCTCTGGAACGCCTTAGGGACACACTGACAACTACTGTGTCTTTGCATGCAACTTTAAAGGAGTTACTTGGCATCTTCTGTTCTCCCCTGAAGGAATTTTTCCTTCAGAGACCATTACTGGTCTCAGTGCTACTCAGTGGTTTCTTATTGAAAGAGTCTCTGCGTTAATAAAATAAAGAAACTAAACAAAGCAGACGTGAAAAAGGTGCTGTTATGTTGTACTTTCACAAGGATTGTGAGTAGATTTGGTTTAGTACCAAGTCTGTTGTTTTGTTTTAGACAGTGGGTAAGAAATGGTCAAATATTATGGTTTGAAACAAAATCTTGCTAAGGCACCAGGAAAGTGGTACAACAGTGTTGACAGATTATTAGTTTTCTATTGCTGCTGTAACAAATTATTGTTAAGTTTAATAGCTTAAAATATACAAATGCATATTCCAGTGCTGTGGGGGTAGGGTCTGTGGGGATCTCACTTGGGCTAAAAGCCATGTATTAAGAGACTCAAAGGGGAGAATCCATCTCCTTATCTTTTTAGCCTTGTTTTCATAGCTTGTGACATTGCATGCCTGTGTGGCTTTGCGAGGTAGGCACATCACCACCTGACTATGATCTAGAACAAATTTCAGATTGGACACATCTAAATGAACGGGGAAGGTCCTTAGTTTAACAACATCATCAGAGTCCCTTTATTCGGGTCAGGCTGCACGTTCACAGGCTCTAGGAGATTGAGACATGGGCACATTTAGAGGCTGTTATCCTGCTTACCGCAGAAGAATCAGACAAATTGTTCAGAACAGTAGAAATGCTTCAGGTAGTAGAGTTGGGATCACGTCACACTTCATTATAGCGGACTGAGAGGCTTTATTGCTCTCAAGTTAATGAGGCAAGTTCTCGTCTCAGCGCTGCAGTTTCCATTCTGTGGGTCCTGGCACCGGAGAATATTGTTTTCCTTAGAGTACTTGGCAGGAAGCAGACAGGTTGACATCCATTGACATCTAGCCATTCTTGGCTAGACTTTGTGGTACTGTGGGTGTGGTCTCCGGAGAGGTTGCTGCTTTTTTTGTTTCTCCAGTGCTGAATGCTTGTCTACTGCTCACAGGTTCCCAGGACTTTGAATAGCACCAAAGAGTGTGAGGGTTTTATCGTAGGCTGCTGTGCCTGCCTGCCACCTCATGCATTATTTATTGGCTCAGAAATGTGGAGACTGGAAGGGAATGGCATAATAATCAACATCTCTATGAGGTGTGGTGATTACAGCCAGTTTCTAGGTGCTTCTCACTTTCCTCCACATGTTAGGTGGGTTATCCCTGCACGTATGAAACCATTTCTTGGCCTGTGGATAAAAAGGATTATTGGGATTTTTTAAAAGTCTATCGTTTAAAAAAAATGTGAGCTTGAAGATTTTGGTGGAGAATTTAAGTCTTTCAGCTGTTTTTGTGGCAGGGTTCCCTTCTATCAACTTTAGATACTTCAGGCCCACAAGTCTGAAGTCTAGACCTTGGGCTATCTGCAGAGCATCAAAATGTCT